TTAAAAAAAAAAAAAAAAGGATATGAACTCCACCCAACTCTGGGTTTCCACTGGAATGTAGGCTCTATGAGGGCACAGTGTATCCCCTAGGGGCTGGGACAAACAGGTGCTACTTAATTGTTGAATTGATGAACGAGACATGGATGAGAACAAGAAGACGGCATGGGCTAAATGCCCTGAGAAAGACCCAAAGTACGATGAGAAGCTGGAAGAAGAAAAGGTTCGTTGTGACTCAGAAAATCCGAAAAGCCTCCGTGGAGGTGGTGATGTTTGAAGGATGAACAGGATTTCTCCAAGCAGGAAAGAATTAAAGGACTTTCTGGGTATAGAAGACAGCAAAATTACAGATCATGAAAATACGTGCATATGTGTGGATTAGGATGGAGTTTAATGATTGTAACAATGAAGGAAGAAAATTTCCTGATCAAAGAAGAAAGTTTTTTGATCATGCTTTTTGGGCCCTCCTGGTCTCTGAGGAAAGGAATGGCCTTTTCATGGCTGACTGGCCCCAGGGTGTCATTAGACCAGAGCTGTAATGCCTTACTCCTTGGCTGCACTGGTGGGTTAATGGAGGGATTCCAGGCACAGGGTTGGAATGAGCTAGTTAGAACTATAATAAACCATTTAAGCCAAGGTTAATTCCTCTTCTGCTCAAATTTTTGGAATGTCTTGCAGTGGCAATGAAGTAGACAGTATGTGCTCCAACAAAAAATTCCAGTAAAAACACACCAAATTAACCTGTGCTAAGTGACCTTTACCTACTTTATAGTCTCGAAGTCTAACCTCTACCAAAGCAGACATCGTGTTCTAGCAGTTAACATTTTCAAATTGCTTGCAGGTCCAAGGGTCAAAATGGTTTGGGGAGGAGGCAGAGGGACCAGTGGTGGGAGCTGAGGCTGGTTTCAGCCTCTGCAAGGAGCACGACCTTGGGCCCCAGGCAGGATCGGGGAGACCAGTGGAATGCAGTGGCAAGGAGGATTCTACTGGCAGCCAGACTTTTCAGCAGCAGCCAGAGTGTCAGTCCCAGACCCACAGGCCCACAGAGCTGCTCGTGTGGACGGGTCTCTGCCATGCCTGGACTACCTTCTTAATAAGCTTGCTTTCGACCTCAGGAGGACAGAAAGGTTCTAGGCAAATTCGAACACCCGGGTATGTGAGTCATGCTCTGTGTCTATGCTCAAAGACCCCAGAGGAGGACCAGGCTTTCTCCTGTGGGCCCAGGGTTGGGCCAGCCTCGGGGGCCTGCCTCACCTTGTGGAGAACCTGGCCACCCCCTCGAAAAGCACACGTCGCAACTGAGGCTGCGTTTCTTCAGCCAGGAGAGCTGGCAGTACCGTTTATGAGCCCACACCACAGATCTGAGATACGTGGCAGTTCCAGAACAGAACATCAGCATATTCAGCTGGGAAAGAGGTTAGACGCTGCATCGGACTGCAGGCTGCACTTTTTTTATGACACTGCCCCATCTACTGGTGCCAGGCAGAAGTGCCACTTGGTGGGGTGGTTTCTCACAAAACTGGATAAGCCAGTGGTTGAAGCAACACACAGCCAAGTCACAGCTGGAAAGAAAGCCAGCCTCTAAGCTGACATCTGAGTCAGCCTTTTAGCCCACAGAAAGCTTTCCAGCCGGCTTTCCCCTCACCTTATTTCTTGCATAATGCTCTTCCCTCTTGGCCCCTCTCCCCCAGCATCCCACTGAACGAACGTTGGCTTCTGACATGCCAAATGATGAATCTGGAATCTTCAAAATCATCCAACAAATATTTGTTGAGAGTCTCCTGTGGATGTGACATAGTTGCTGAGGATATTGCACTAAAGAAGACAGACAGGTCTTTGCCCTCCTGGGATCTATATCAGGAGGCAGATAATAAACAAACAAATAACTAGTAAAATATCAGATAGTGATATGTCTCTGAAGACAAAAAAGCAGTGTTAGGAGTGGAAGGTGGCTGGTTTCAACAGCGTGGTCAGGGAAGGTGTCTCTGGGCAGAGACCTCAATGAGATGGAGCCAGCCATGCAAAGATATATGGGGAGAACATTCTAGCCTGTGCTGACCAGTATGGTAGTCACTAGCCACACGTAGCCATTGAGCACTTGAAATGAAGTTGGTCTGAATTGAGATGTGATGCAAGTGTGAAATACACACTGGATTTTGAAGACTTAGTAAGACAAAAAGAATGTAAAAGATCTCAATAATTTGATAGTAATTATATATTGAATTATAATATTTTGGCTATGTTGAGTTAACTAGAATATATTACTAAAATTAATTTTGCCTGTTTCCTTTTATTTCTTTAATGTGGGTACTAGAACATTTACAACTATATATACGGATAGCATTGTGCTAGCAGAGGGCACAGCTAACGTGAAGGCCCCCAGGTGGGATGAGCTCAGCAGCTTCAAGGAGTCTCAAACTTTAGAAATCCCAGTGCGTGATCACAGCCTCTTATTCTTCCAGCCGTCTTCACTCCTGACCCCATCATATCAGTTCTTTAACCTCTTCAAGACCTCCAGGATCTACATCAGCATCCCTTACAGAGTGGACTCGTCCACTGGCT